AGTTATACTTTCTGGAGTGCTTAAAAATCGTGAAAACCTTTCGGTTTTGATTACTGATTCAAGCTTTAATCTGTATTTATCCCTAGTCTTAAAAATATTAATTCTACACCTGTTTCGTTTTTTTCTCCCATTCAGTAAATGGCGATATATGCTCTGTGTCTGCCATAATTAAGTATTCTGTTGAACAGTTTTCTTGACTCATTCATATTCTCATTCTGTAATTTTGCTTTCAATAAGATTATTAAGCGACATTTTATTCTTCCTCCTTCTCTAATTTATTTTATATCACAGTCATGTTAATTGCCGAAAACGAAAGCATGGTTAAACCCTTTGATAAATTAATTATCTGTTACAATTGCATATGCATAATCTTCTAAAAGTGTTAAAAGTATCTTGCAGCAGTATTTTCCAGTACAGTACAAAGTCCGAAATCCGGAATGGTCGGAACTTCGGCAATTTCGGATATTTGATTTTTCCGGATAATAGATCATCAAATTAATTCTGGTAAGATGGCATGCAGAAATTATACAATTAAAAATATGAAATCGTAATTTATGAAATAAAGAGCAATTATGATCTAAAGGGTATCAAAATTTACAAAAAAGCTTAATATTTATTTGTTTACTTTATTAAACATTTCTTTCAGTGTAAGCTGTTTAAGATGCTTCCACAAAAAATTCAAAATGTGGCTTTTTCTTTTTGTTTGTGTCATATAAAGTGGACTTTCCAATGCCATACTCCTCGCATAATTTTGAGGTGGATATGCTTTTATCCATTTTGGAGCAATTCCACTTTTTGTTTAATGGACATCAAAAACATGGTTTCGCTTTGTAGATCCTTTGTAAATCCAGAATTGGAAACTCTTTTCGACATAATCAAAAGTTCAAGCTTAGTTTTTATAAAATTGCCGTAATAATAACAGTCTGCAAAAAGTATTAAGCTGGTTGAATAAGATCACGAAGCAGCGCAGTCTCCTACATTAATTGAAATGCCTTAGAATCAGTAAAGATAATTTTAGTCTAGCTTAATAGCGTCCGTTATACATTATTAGACGTGTATCACAAGATTGGTGACGAAAGCCAAGTTGGTTCGCTAAATTTTGTCTTGCTTCTATTGCGCACTGAATTAAGCCTGAATTGTATTAGTTTAATTATTTACTATAACTACGCTTATTTCTTTTACATGCTTCAAACTAATCTGAGTCCTGAATAAATAAACTCCCCCATATACTTAAGGCTTTATCTAGGGCCGGCGCTATGAACCGCCTGGTGCAGAATTTAGGACCTGGTGCAGGTCCTAAATTCTGTTACAAAGAGCTTTCCTAAGTTCTAAATTTTCACCGTACCTAAACTTTGGTTTCTAAATCATAAATACTTCCCATCCCTTAATTTTGCCATTCGGTGCTTCCCAAATTCCAAAAATTTCGTCTTCCATAAATTCTGCCGTCCGGAGCCGACTTATTCTGCCGCCGTTTCTGGGTTTATGTTGAATTAAATATCAGATACGCATGCGCATCTGATACGTCTGATAATCAAATGCGCATCTGATTAAATTAGCATGCGTAAATTTAAAAAAAAATTGTTTGTGGCTTTGAGGTTCGGATTTTAGATCAATCCGGATAATGAACGTCCGGATTTCGGACTTTGTATTGTAGTATTATAATTAAAATGTAATCGCTAAGTTCTAAAGGAGAAGAGAACTTAAACTGAAAATAAAATTTTTCCCTTCTATAGAATTATTTATTTTTTCTGGGAAAATTTCTGGAACATAAAGGATACCAAAGGACACGAAATTAAGTACTCAATTCAAAAAATTGCATTTTAATAAATTTTTCAAAATAAAACTCATAAACTGATAAAATGTCGCCTTTTTTAAAAATTTTGACATAAAATATTTTAAAATTATTCTTAATCAATTAGCCGACTAATAAGAAACAGAATATACACATAGAGTCAATTAGGATTCAGAAATTATGACTAAATGGTACAGAATTTATTTATAGAATCTTCTTAGTTCTCTCGATACAGCTTCATATGCGACGATAGTTCGACGTGAAATTTTTAGGCTGATATATTTCTGCGTTTGTTGATGATCCTGGTAAAACAACTACTTTCTTTTTCAAATGACGTTATATGTAACAGCGCAGTCTGTAGCTCGGTCTTTGCTCTTCAGTTTGTGGATTTCGTTTAAAACGTCTTCGCGGAAGATTTTTTAAAACGTCAGCTGTCTCAAATTTCCAACAGTTTTCTTCAGTCATATAAAAAGTATTGGCCTCTCTTCATGCCTCATATTTTTGAAATAATAAAAAGATTGCTACAGTTGCTATTTGATAACAGTTTCGCACAAATGTTTTACCAGGTAACGAGAAAATGAGGATTAGTGTTCTAGCATTTACCTACGTAATTTCTTTTATAATTGATATCTCTGTGACATCCTTAATGATATAGCTCCATCTGCCGGATGTCACTGTAACTAAATTAGGCAATAGTTTTTAACTAATACTTTACTCTTCATTTCTTTCTCCACATTATAAATTTATGAAAATGCAATTTGTTTACTTCACTGAAATCCTTTACTTTACTCCACCTAAATTCGTTATAATTGAAGATGCAGAAAAGACACAAATGTGATCAAAAACGGGAGCAGGCTGAGGTCGATCTTTGTGTGAAATTGGGGGGCAAGTAGACCTCGATCTGCAGTGCTACTTAAGTTACAAATGTAACGAGGAAAAAAGAAATTTAAAAGTCGACATGACTACTAAGATCTTTAATGCGATAAATTTTTAATGCCATCAACGTGCAAGGTGTTTTCTCCCTCCTCTCTGTATACCTTCGTCTTGTTTCGATAGCATACTCCGCGTATTCGAGAGGCCCAGGTTCGAGTCCCTGCGAGCGAACTGCATATTTTCCATTTTCCTACTTCAAATATCCTAATGACTCTGCAGTGGCAAAGGAACTAAAAGGTGGAGGATGATGATTCCTCACCACCAGGATTTGGCGATAAAAGGGGAAGTATAGATGGCAATTTCTGCCTCTTTTTTGCATGCCTTCGTAGTGTAACGGTAGTACATTCGGCGCGTATTCGAGGTGTCCAGATTGGAGTCTCTGTGAGAGCAATGCTCATTTTTTGTGTTTCTTTCTTTTAATTCGTTGTACTAAAAAACCTAATGGCTCTACAAGCGTTCAAATTATACCAGTTAGTTGACACGCATGAGAGAACTCGTGTCATACCTACAGATTTGATTTTTTGTCTTTAATCATCTACGGTGAAACATCATTTTCGTTTAAAGATCTAACTTTCAGCAAAGTATAATACATTGTTTGCTACTTCAATGCAGCGTAATGACTTTAGTTTGGAAAGTTTTTTCAGCCATTTCTTCATATTCTCGCTTGCATTACAAATTCGATGCACTATTTAAGAATGGGAAAAAATTCCAGTATCATCATATCCGATTCAATAATTTTTTTAAAACATGAGATATTCCATTGCTTCAAATATCAGCAAGTCAGTTTATAATAAAATGATTTGATGCGTATGTAAAAGATTTAGCATTCTGGTGCTGATTAGGTCATCAGTCTCACTGTTCACAAGAAGGAGCTTTCAATTGCGCAGAATTTTGTTTTTAATGATGCAATTCGTCACACGAAAATTCAAAAATATGATCTTCAACTACATTACACTCCACTCTTCTTCTTTGAAACAAGGCTGATGTTGGTGGAACGCATTTTGAATTTTTCAAAAAATATTATATATTTATTTATATTTCTATATATTTAGATGTGGTTATTATAACTTGAATAATAATGTAAATTGTTTGGGATGAATTAAACGTAATCAATGTAATCATTCTGATAATTTACTTTACTAATATTTTACTCTCAATTTCATTATCCACATTGTAAATTTATGAAAATGCAATATGCTAAAAGTTTGTGATAACTATGGAATCAGTAAATTATTCATTAAATAAGCACATAATACTTTTATATAAAATACTTATAGTAAAATTGCTAATAATTGGTATTTTTTTAACTTTGTGGTATTGTTTTTATGAAAATATCAAATAAATATTTTGTAATATTAAAAACTTAAGTTTCAATATTATTTTGAAAGAAACTAAGTAACGAATTTAAAGATTTTCAGTTATTTTCAAAAAATATTAAATATTTCAAAAATATTCAAAGATACAATTATTAATCAAGTAATATTTAATAACTGAAAGATATTTCTGTTATTAAATATTACTTGATTAATAATTGTATCTTTGAATTATTGTACGAATTTTAGATTATCTTGTGAAGGTGATTCATGTAAAACATGAATAAAGTTATTCGGAATATGTATGGAAATGATGATATCAAATAGTAATTTTGAGTAGAAAATATTATTTGGGATACTGACTATACGAACAAAAGTACATTAATCACTTAAGGATTAAATTAATTGTAGAAAATATGATTGTGTAATGAATTTAATAAGTAAAGAAAGTTATTTGAAATTATGATGAATGATTGTTATGGAATGATTAATTGAATGTAAAGAATAGAGTATGTTGGAAGGAATACTGGCTAATAAAAGGGGTATAATTTACCTGTGAATAACTGTGCTTTTTATACTCTCATAAAGAGAAAGTTTGAAGCCTGCTATTTTGGGGAAAGAATGTAATATTCCAACACCCCTTAACCACTAGCGCCGTAACACATATGACATTCTCAAGTTTAGATGGAAATGCTTAAGCCTTTATGTTTCTCTAAAATTTCGTTTTAAAAGTAAAAATGTAAATATAAATCAAACAATAATTTTAGTGATTTAGACTAAAACTTCAGGAGAAATCTAAAGATTGTCTTAATTTCAGATATATAATATTCAAAATTTATATTTTGCAACTACTTCCAAACTTTTATTTAGTTTACAGTTTCATAAATTATGTTTTTATATTATATTTTCCTCCTTTTTTATTGCTCTGACGCTTTCTCTCTTTATAGATGCCGAGCGGTAAAGTCGCTGAATACTGGTAGTTCGGTCCGGAGTTCGAATCCCTTCGAACGAGCTGGCTATATGGACGTTTTCGAGATTTTTCCCATGCGTGTGCAATCTGTATAAAAGCTAGTTTCCTTTAGAAAGCCCTCCATGATGGCATCCCTTCCCTTAGGCAGATAGCCCTCGAATGTTTTCTCGTAATTAAATAACCCAAAATACCAAACTAAACGTTTTTCTCTATATATACAGGGTAATTCGCTACCAGACTGACAAACTTGCAGGTTGCGTAGGGGTTACACAGACAAATTGGAATCATATAAGAATGCAGGGGCGCAAATGCTGTAATTGCGAGCTATGGTACAAAGAAGAACAGGAAAAGACAGAGAAAAAAAACAGAGAAACAGAACAGAAACAGCAGCAAGTTAATGGGACAGAAAACATTTTATTGAAAGGTTGTACTACAACAATTGTTCGAAATTACGACCAGAAGTCGTCAGGCAGGCCTAAGAGCGGCGCTGCATTGAATTCCTTATGTTGTGGAAGATTCCTCCTGGCGGTCTTGCGATAGATGGCGCTGAACGGAAAATTGCGTGAACAGCGATCTTGCTGGAAGTCGTCATTTGCGATCCGTTCCCGAGGTAGTAGGATGAACGAGTATTCAAACGATGAACTGATCGACATGATGATCTTGCATGGGCTGCGGATTGTAGTGGGACGAAACTCAGCGGTTGTACCAGGAAGTTTACATGAACAGGCGTGCTTCACATCACAAGACCTTTGCAAGAGTGAAAAAAAGCTTACATGAGACAGGTTGTTTAACGAGAGCTACAATGAACTGACAGCAAACGACGAGGACACCTGGCGATGAGGAGGCGGTCTTACGTCTGGCCGAAGACAATCCAAGTATGAGTACCCGAGCGATAGCCCGACAAGTTGGTTTATCTCAATCCATTGTCTGGAGCAGCGGTTCTCAACCTTTTGACTAACGTGTACCATCTAAACGAAACCTTTATTACCACCAATACAAAGTACTGCTACCACCACCACTCTAGAACAAAGCTCAGATCGAAAAAATTTACGAGTGTTAAAGAAAAAGCTCAATTAGGATGACGGGGTTTTAGTTTTTGAATCTAATACTTAAAAATACTTTGCCTTTTTTGCGTACCACCTATTTTTCTCTTACGTACCACCAGTTGAGAACCCCTGGTCTGGAAGATACTCACAGCAAACCAAATATGCACATACCATCTTTATCGCACACAATAATTATAACCTGAGTATTATCCATTTCGGAAGATGTTTGCTACATGGTTTCTGCAACAGAGTGATACGGACAGTGCATTTGCGGCGTCCATATTATTCACACGTGAAGGAGCCTTAAATAAGCATAACGCCCATGTTTGGTCTTTTAAAAAACCCTCATAGTACGCAAACACGTGCAGCTTAAGAGCGTTTCTCGATTAATGTTTGCCCCAACTACCTTATTGGACTATACCTTCTGCCCAGTCCTTTGGAGGGTATGGCATAGCTGATCTTGCAAGCACACCTGCCCAAACTTCTTGACGCAGCACATGTTCCTCTGTCGTAACGCAGCTCCCTGTGATGCAAACATGACTGCGCTTCTCCACACTACACGACTGATGTCCGTCGACACCTCGACGTAAACTTTGGAAGACGGTGGATAGGTTTTGGTGGCCCGGTTCATTTTCCTGCCAGATTGTCGGACCTGTCATATATGGACTTCTTCTGGGTAACATGAAGGGTATGGTGCACGAGAAGCCCGTTCCGTCAGTTGAAGACCGCGTCGCTCGAATATTTATAGCTGCCAAGAGGATACATGACACGCCATAAATCTTCTAGAACATAAGAAATAACACGCAGCGCCGCTGTCAGGCCTGCAAGAGGATTTCTGTCGTAATTTCGAACACCTGTTGCAGTGCAACATTTCATAAAATGTTTTTCTGTCCCATTAATGTGTTGCTGTTCTTTGTCTCTGTCTGTTGCTGTTCTTTGTGTTTGTCTTTGTTTAACTTCTGAATTAAGCATATAGTGATTTAAAATATTGATGATTATCACACAGCTGACGAATTCAGATTTCAGAATATTGATTTTCTTTAATCATTTGGTAGAGCTATGTATTTGTGCTAGATATTTGTTGATTTCAAATCATTTTAAAATGTTCCTTTAAATCTATAATAATACACGTTTTAGAAATCAATAATTTTTATATCAAAATATTAATTAACTTTCCTGAGAAATAGTATAAGCAATTAGACTTGTTAACAAGGCTTGGGCTTGTTTTCGAACTTTACTTTCTTATAAAATTTAGCTAATAAAATTGCTAGAAATAACACTTACTTAATCTAATAAGTGTGTCAAATTATATTTTCCCAGTTAGTGAGTTCTTCATTGAAATAAAATTAAAACACAGAGAATGAAAAATTTTAATAATACTACGTATTAGTTAAAAAAACACTACACTTTTCCATAAACCAAACAATAAAAACAAAATGTAGTATTTCTTATCACAAAAGCATTTTTACATATAGCTAAACACACCTTATTTTACAATTTATTTTTTAAATATACAAAACTATACGTAGTAAAACATCAGAAATAAACATCAGAAATGTAAACTGTTTTCCGATTAATGAAAAGTATCCAAGTAAAATAATTATGTTAGCTAGAAGATGAGAGAAATTATTTTTCTGATAATGTTTGTTATATTTGTTTGCCTTGGACTTAGAAGCAAGAAATTTTCTCTCAAATTCTTAATATTGTAGCTCCCGTCTAATTTTTATTTAGCTTTATGTATTTATAAAATATTCAAGACACGGAGAAAACTGAAAATTTTCTTGAGAAATAGAGGGACTATCTATAATCACATTTGTAGCGTAAGATTAAAAATGTGAATTTTAAGGAATAGTTATTCCTCCGTAATGACTAGCACGAATTTGCACTTAATGCAAAATATTATGGAATCATAGTTGCTGGAATCGTTTCACGGATTCGTTTCCATTAGGTAAATTGATTGTAATATGAGTATATATTTTCTTCATTAATTTAGTTTTGCCTTTATTTGTTTCCGGAATTATACATAAGCAGTTCACTTTGTTATTTGCTGTTTCTAATTTTTGACCTAAGCGAAAGAAGGATATTAAACATAACAAAATAATCGCAGCTGATTGGGATGTAATAACTATTGCAATTTCGATATAGTTTGTAAATCATTCTTTTAGTAAACAATTAAAACATATTTAAAATAGCTTAAGATTAAATTTTATAACAATTATATCTTTAAGCACGGCAGAATGACTTTTATATATATTGGAAATTCCGGAAAATTCAAGGCATTCATTATCTAAATATGCCTTTTGGAATACAACTTTACAAATATGTATGATGTTTAAGAAAACATAGTCAAGATGAAAGCCTATTCATTTTCTTCTCATTTTGTTATTATTGGATAAGTTTTACTTTGATGTTCTTTCAATATTGCTCGAAAGTTCGTCAATCGTTTTGGAAATTTCTTGAGCTGTGGGTGTGGTAGCCTGGCTTCCTTTATTTCTCTCACCAGGTATCTTGGTTGTTGGTACACCTTCTGGAAAGTAACATTCTCTCGACATTATGAAAGCTTTCGCTGTCTCCTTAGAGCTTCTTTTTTTAGCGCCATCTGCAGGGAGTGACTTTACTTCTTTGTAAACTGTCTTACATCCTTTATCATTAAAATCAATTGATGGGATTTCGAATTTTGGAATAGAAAATTCTGTTGTCGGATGAGCAGTTGTAGAATCTTCATATGAATCTAAAATAGAACGTCTTAGAGATCGCAGATGAGGACTATGGTGGAAGGGTGGCATCGCAAATCCTCCTGATGTTGGATAAGGTTCAAAAATATATTCTTCACTCTGGGGTACATTTGATGCATAAAACTGTGAAAATGGAAGGTGCAATGACGTTGGCATCAAAGAATAACTATTTTCTGGTTGATGATATCCATTTGGAATCTGATGATACCCACCAAGAGACTCATGATAGACATTTGGAGGACCTTGGGACACCATTCTTGGGGTATCAAAGAAAGGATCCATGAATGGATGTTGTTGATTGTACAAATTTATTGCTCCTCTTTGTCGTGGTAACTGATGATGCAGCAATCTTACATTTTGGACTGGATGTCTTGGTAATGGAGTAGGTTCCATTGACTTCTCTAAAGCTTTAGTGACGGAAGGAGATGTTGCATTGGCAATTTGAGTACCTTTTGCTGTATAGAGTTTCGATTCTCTGTTAGAGTTTGTGATTAGACCATCTCCTGACCTTTGCTCTGGAATCTGTGTGACTAAAACAAATTCCTCGGTTGGCGAAGAAGGTGTGTGGGAGGCTGGAGAAGTCGTTGTCGATATTCTGTACTCCGTAACAGGTGGTTCAACTTGCTGCATTTTAGGTTTCACTCGACCAGCAGGCCTATCTACAACAACAGGAGAGGCTTTATACTTCTGTTCATTAAAATTTGGGGGTGAACCGCAACAGAATTTTTCAAATGGAATTGAAAACTTTCGATTACCATCGGCACTAAACTTCTGGTTAGCTTGCTGTATACCTTCTTCAGCTGGCGGTGAAATATTTCCAAAATCTTTCATGTCTTTCGATTGCCTTTGAGACACTGAAAAACGATTTCCAAAATTATCATTTAGGGAAGGTCTTTGATTAGCAATAGGAACAGCGCCGAATGTGTTAGGCTGTGGGCTATGCTTACTGTCAGCATATATTATAGGATTATTTACCTTGTAGGTCTGATAATCATTGGGATTCATTTCAATTTCTGGTAATTTAGTAACATAATTTATGCTGTTTTGTTTAGCTGTCTCTCCGAATGGTGTAGTAGGTACCCATATATTTGTATACTTTTTATTTTTGTTCTTCCTATTCTTTTTAGGATTTCTTTCTTGCTTATTAATTACAGTGATATGAGCATAGTTTGATGGCGTTGAAGCTGCAGTTTTTGGTACAGGAGAAGTTGGTTTTACTGTACTGGTTGTTTTTGCAGTAGTGGTCTTCCGAGTAGGCTTTTTCTTAAATTTTCGGACACGGACTACTTTACCGCGACCATCCGAAGAAAATTGCTCTGGATTTGGAGATTGCAATTTTTCAACATTTTCACCACTTTGTTTCAGTTGCTGGGAACCATTTTGAGCTTTCATTCGACGAACTAATCTAAGAGGTTTGTCGCTTACTTCAGTGGTATCGCGTGAGGGTGTTACCTGCTTAGGTTTACCTTCAGGTGGTGAGGAAGAATTAAGTAGCTTTTGTGATTCATGAGATAAAGATGAGCTTACTTCTACTTTTTCATGATCTTGTTTTTGTTGATTATAATTCTTCTGACTTTTGAATCTACGCACTATTTGTGGAGATCTTGAACTTACTTCAACAGTTTCACTTGCTTGTGCGGTTTGTCTAGAACTTTTTGATGCAACTGAAACAGGCAGTTTTAGAGACCAGTCTGTACTCCGCTTTGAAATCTTTTTAAATGAAATATCTTTATCATTTAAAAAACTGTCATACGTTCCACTTAAAAATGGATAATGTAAAGACTCTAGTACAGGCCCTTGACCTCTATCTTTAGTCAGTGGTATTGCGGATGATATGCTGAATAAACAGATGCAAGAAAACACAATGACCTGAAAAGGAAAATTTAAAATTTTAATGAATACCGAGAATATGATGACGTACAAAGTCATAAAATACGTAGTAACTGATACACACTTGTTACATCAATTTTTTTAAAATATATATTAGTGCTTTTATAAATTTAAATTATTTAAAAATTTGAATTTATGGCAGAAATGTCTGGAACAAATGGTAGGGTGTGGGAAGGCTGGAAAAGGGTATGAATTAAAAACAATAATCATTAAATAAAATTGTTGCAAGCATAATATGATTGAGAGGGTAAAAAGTATCATGGAATGGAATACAAAGAAAATGAAGCAGATTTACTAAATAAAAGTAAGCATAATGCTGGAAGATTTGAGAAGTGGTATATTTGCTGCGAAATTAATTCTTCAAGTTTAAATGTTTCAATAAAAAACGATGATATGTAGATTTAGGTATATACAAGAAGAAATGATTAGAAAAATACTGTACGTATTTTATGTAGAAATTAAAAGCAATTTTTCTAAACGTTGTTTTTTATATTTAACCTTTTGTTATTTGTTGAATAAGTCAACGTATTATATTGAGTTAAAATAACTACAAAAATACTCCTAAATTCTTTTCAAATGTGTTACATAAGGAAAACAAATAGTGATTACGCGCAATATTTTATTATTATCATTAATTTTGTCCCTTGTTTTGTAACCTCACATAAAATTTTTGTACGCCGTATATTTATGAAATCTATTTTTCCATTTTCTTTGTCCCTTATGATAATCGTGAGAGAAAACTTTAGTTAAAACTCAATGGCAATCAATTGAGTATGAGTTGAAAAATATGTTTGAAGTTAACTTTCGAATCGTTCGAAAAACTAACTCGTTTGATTTCGAATCTTCTGTTTTTTTAAGTTCTATTAGTTAATTTTATTAAGCATGAAAGCATTTGTTCAATATATTTTTGTATTCGAAGAGCTATTAATTGTGCTCATCCCTGCTAAAAATGCCCCATAGAAACCAGTAAAACTTTTTATGGGTACCCATAAGATTTTGTGGGTTTTTATTGATTTTTACTGGTTTCTGTTGGTCTCTGTGGGTTTTTCTTACTGGTTTCAAAATGACCCATAGAAACCAGTAAAACTTTCTACTGGTACCTATAGAATTTTTGATGGTCTCTACTGACTTTTACTGGTTTCTATTGATCTCTGTGGGTTTTTCTTACTGGTATCACTTGACACCCATACAACCAACATCAATGGCAGAACTTTGTACTGGTTTGTATAGGTTTATATTGACTTTTACTGGTTTTCTTACTGGTATCAATATAATAATAAATCTTCTGTTGGTTTATATGGGTTTATGCTATTTTTTTATCTGACGTTAATAGACTTCTTGTAAACAATAAAATTGACAGAATGAAAATATGATCTCTTTAAGACCATCAGAGTAATCTGGAAACGCAGGTGGTCGTTTTAGAGAGGGTTTTTACTAAATACGCTTATTTATTTGATTTAAAAATTGTTTTTCGGAAACAATAACAGTAATCATATACACCACACACAACGAGGTCTCTCTAAGGCGACCAGCCGCAAATAAAAATTCATCTTTGAAAGTGGTCGCCTTAGAGAGGTGATGCTCAATACCAATATATATACTCACGTTCTCAGAGATACGGTTATCTTTTAGAGGTGGTCGTCTTAGGGAGATTGCATCTACGGAATGAATCTCTCTAAGGCGACCAGCCACACTAGCAGAATTTTCTTTGTGAATGGTCGCCTTACAGAGGGAATATTCAATGCCAAAGTATACTTATGTTTTCAGAAATACTGGTCCCTTCTTTCAGAGGCGGTCGTCTTAGGGAGGTGGGTTTTTGCTACGAGTTGGTTCTCTGAATACACACACATAAGCACTTACATTTCTGATATTACAAATAAACACCGGTATCAAACCAACATCTCTTTAACGCGAACAAGTTCATTCACAATCGCAAAACTTTTCTCCTGTTAACGCTGACGTGAAGAAAAAAATTCTCCCTCCCTCCCCCACTCTCAGAAGTTTCCCAAACAAGCAATATGGCGTCGCCGCTTAGTTATTGTTGTGCGATGGTGGTGTTATTTTCTTCGTGGTTGTAGTAATGCAATATATTATTTACTATGGATTTACTGTATTACAAATTTTACTATGTTTTACTGTTTAGAAATTAATAATAAATAATAAAATACAGCACTGACTATGAATATACCACTAAAGCCATGCACGTGTAATCGTGTCTAATGTTTGAGAGAACGTTGCTGATAACTGACTAGTTGTGAAATGGAGTTTCTGAGCGTGAAATTGATTTTCCATCTTTACTTTTATCCTGAAAAACAATGTGCTTAAAGACTGAAAAGTGATAATTTCAGACTTGCTTGATAATTTGGTTCAGTGTGCAGATGCAGAAATATAGTTTTTGCATTCTACTGAAATTGTATTTTGGAAAATTTATTTTTTTGATTACAGTTTAGAAATACTTTTTTAAAGCTTGTTCATGTAGATGCTTTATCATTTGAATATTATGTACTAATAAATTTGAGCATACCTTACTTAAAAATGATCTTGCATGATTCAATTTTCAATTTTTCGACTAATGTGATGTGGCCGAGCAAAAAGAATACTTTTTTACGTTTTAAAAAATGTACTAATTATATTTCGCGAGCAAAAAAGGTAAGTTTTAGTTTTATTAATGAAATAAACATTGAAATATTTAATGTGTTTATTACTTATTGAATGGGGTAGACAAGACATACAAGCTTAAGGAATCTTTTTTCCACTACTAAAATTATGTGAAAATTTAGATGATCATAGTAGCTTACATTGTTTTTTCTTTTTGGTCTTTTTTTCTTTACAAGTATGAGACTAGAACCACCTTTTTACATTAAATATTTTGTGCTATTTTGTTAAAACACATATAATCATTTTTATGCATACTTTAATTTTCAAAAGCTAAAGTCCTAGCTAGTAACCTTTATCGCCTTACCAAAATGTCGCCAAACTACCTGTTACCATATTCCAAAGATTAGCCATTATTATTTCTTCACTACATTATATTCTAGGATTCATCCTTTCTTCCACGCAAAACATCTATGTGTATGAGTGCCATAATAAACTGGAGGGTGTTACTATTAGTGGTAAGCGAGCCTTAAGGGGATAGCAAGTATGCTAAATTTGAACTCTATGTTAAGTTTCTAATTTGCAAGTCCCGTATTCTTTTTGCTTGCTTGTTAATAATGTTTCTTTTCCTGAAAATTTGGGTTTCTTCTAATTTGGTTTTTTAATTCGGTTTAGTGCACTGTAGGTAACTTAAAATTTAAGCAGATGCTAGAAAGTACCATCCTTTGGCAATACATTTCTCATTAGGTATCAAATTGTTAAACAAGCTGATGTGATTAAATACAATTGTTTAATTTCCCAATTAAAGGCTGAAATACAAATATATGCAGTGAGATACTATATGTATATATTTATGATGAAATCAATAATATATATACAGTCAAAGTAATGATTCGCAACCATCAAATGAAATGATATATATATATATATGTGTGTGTGTGTGTGTGTGTAATAGATTCTGTAGTCGAATACAAGCAGCTGAATCCGTAATGAACAGCAAGAATTTTGACGGCTTAGAGATATTGAAACTCCAATCCACAATGAATAAGAAATTTGGCAGTTGAGGTAGATTTAATTCAACTTTAATTTCAGCAAATATGTTGCAACCACAAACAAGTTGGCACATTATTTATGCCTATTCCAAAAATTAACATTTTTGATAAATGTGTAGTAAGAAACAAGGAGCAGACAGACTGCAATCCAGCTAGGCCAAAGCGTAAAAAGCAAATACGTTATGTTAAGGGTGAAATCTTAATTCAGACCGAGTTAATTTTGGTTCTCCATGCACTTTTACTCGTATTTGATAGTTAATACTGCTATAAAATTACTATTGGCTGTTTGAGTTTTAGTTTCTTTTACAACATCAAATTATGTAAGAGTCATATAACATGAATTAATCTCGAAGTGATGCAGTGCAGAAAGATTACTGTTTTTAGAATAGAGAAGGAAAATTAATTTTATGCTGCTAATTTAATCTTTTCCTTATTCCTTATTTTTCTTACATATATGTACATATATCATTAGATGGTTGTGAATCATGACTTTGGTTATTATCTTTCTCTTCATTTTATTTTCAAAATTATATAAAGGTAGTTTAAAATTTTGTAAAGAGAATTTATACAAATATTTTGTAACATGTTTATAGATATTGACGTGCATTAAGGACAGGGGCTCGTAGGCTTCTAGATATTTAAAATTTTTTATTTGCATTGAATTTTATTTAAAATTACTTTACATGCTTTCCAGCCATTTAGTTCTGTACATTTCAGTGCTAATTATGTACTTCTGCTGGTTTATGTTTTTATGAAAATTTGATTTACAGTTCTATTTTTGTGTATTGTTTTTTATAGGGATTCTGTATATGAATACCCGTGGAAATTTGGCCAATGGATATGCATGCAAAGTTCTGATTTTTGGCTATGGATTTTTACTGGGATTTTGTTTATAGTGCCTACAGTTCTACAGACATTTGGCCTACTCGCATCCGTACAATTGTACAGGTTTCTGTTTACAGGTATTTGGCCTACAGGTACCCGTACAGCCATGCAGGTTTCTTTCTATGGGTTTTTACGGATATTTGGCTTACGGGTACCCGTACAACTGTACGGGTTTCTTTTTATGGGTTTTTACGGGGATTTGGCCTACGGGTACCCGTACAGTTGTACGGATTTCTGTCTATGGGTTTTTACGGGGATTTGGCCTACGGGTACCAGCAGAGCTGTACGGGTACCCGTAGGCCAATTCCCCGTAAAAAAATTTTATGGGTTTCTACGGGGCATTTTTAGCAGGGATGTGAAGAAATCTTATTTTATGATTCAAGATTACCATTGTCACTGAGAACTATTTGAGAAGAGTTGGTACTTTTAGTATTAGTAAACTAAATA